ACCAATCAGCCATATTTCCATGCTTTGCCGCAACCCCCATGTCCCCAAAACACTACCATATCATTCCTTACCTACTCCTCCATCCAAATAATCCCTAGAACCTGTCTCTAGTCTTTGTGCCGCAGCCAAGAGGAGGAGAAAAAGCTTGGGACGTTCATGCCATTCAATTGAGGGTTGCTGGAACGTTTTAGGTGTTGTCTTTCCTTTGATTTCTATGTTTAATTTTGATACTCTTTGTGTTGTGAGAATGAGGAACTAAACCCCCTTAGTTAGGGGGGAATTCGAAACCATGTACATGCTTGCAATATGATTTGATTACATTCAGTTGTTATTTCATAAGTTGTGGATTCAATTCGTTCATCTATTTGATTGATAACTTATTTGTGTATGTTGATTGAGAGTGCACGCTTAGTTTTCATGCATGAATATGATGCTAGATTATGAGGGAGTTTCACCTAATAGTTACAATCTTATAATCACAAGTAGTGAAGGTCGCTTGAAAACGATCGCGTTGAATGAATTCTTAGCATAAGTTTCATGCAATTCATAGTAACAAATGCTTCGTCAATGCTTATGTTTTTCATAGAACGTAATGATTCGTGCTTGTATCTCTATTATGCAATTCATGTAGGGAACTTGTAGGGAATGTTTTGGGTTGTCGTATGCAATCATCCAACCTAATAACTTGTGGAAAAACTGAGGGTTAATTAGTGCAATTCACGGTTAATCTGGGGCGTTGAGTATTTATAATTTATTGGAAGAACAACTGAAAATCGTTTCGTTTGCAAGTGTGACATGTGTAGAGAAGAACCTCCTAACTAGCCTTTTATCCATCCTTTTCATCCAAAAACGTTTTACAATCTGTTTAGTTTTAAGTTTCTGTTTTGTTTTCAATTTTCGTCCAAAACAAATCCCCCTTTATTTTAGAGTCTTAGATTAGTTAGAAAGTGTTTTGATTTGTGTTTCTAAGTGTTTTGATTCAAGTCTTCATCCAATTTCGTCCAAATTAGTGTAGGTGCTCAAAACTGCTCAGAAAGTGGTTTTTAGGCAGTTTTGAGTCTTCTAGTTGCTGTTTTGAGTTCTAGGGTTGTTTAAGTGTTTTAAACTTTAGTTTTGCATTCTTTGAGTCTAGTTTAGTGTTTTAAACTTTGTTTTTGAGTTTTTAAGTCAGTTTCCAAGTGTTTAGCAATCCCTCCTAATCCCCGGTCTAGAACGATCCCTACTTACATCTTTACTACAATTTGACAAAAAGAGGGTTTAATTTGTGTGCTTATCTATTTCGCATCAAATATGGTTAAGCCCCTCAACTCGTCACGAGCGATAGACAATGCGCCCATCAGGCAACACGACCTCGTAGTCAGATCTATCCTGATGAGTCTCTTCTTTGTCATTTTTTCATGATCTCTTTGTGGAAGCTTATACAGACATGATAGTTTTCCTTATTGCTTCTAGTAGCCTTGAGAACAGACTGATACCGATTTTCTCCAAGTATACCTTGTAGTCAGCCACGATGTTACTGATATAGATTTCCACGAGTGCTTCCTTGTCCTTCATGTCGTAGCAGTCAAGGGCAAGGTCGCATAAACGCTTGACAAAAGTTATATGATTTTCCGCGTGCCTTTGGCGTATGTTATTAAGCTGAGTTATCGTGAACCTTTCCTTATGTTGGAAGTACCTTTTGCAGAACTTACCTGCTAGCTTTTTTCAGTTTGGATAAAACCTGGCGAAAGGGTAGTGTACCAAGTTTAGGCACGATCGGTTAGACTCTTCGAGAAATCCCTAAGGCGGAGGTTGTAGTTGCCGGCATGAGGACCTAAAACGTCAATGAAATGGCTTATATGTTCTTTAAGGCTACCCTTCTTCCCATCAAAGAGGACAAAGTTGGAAGTCTTGTATCCATTAGGTTATGGCATGTGGAGAAGGCTGATTGGGTACGGTAGCTAAAGAATAAACTTCCAATCCTCCGAACTCATGTGCAACTCTTTTTTTTAGCATGGCAATGACGTCTTCCTGAGTGAGCAAGGATGACATCTTTTCAGAATACTTGCCTGTAGCATCAGCTGATTCTTCAGGAAGTTTTTTCCTTGGGCCTGCAATCTTTGTCATTGGCTTTCTCGCAATCTTTGTCACTGGCTTTCTCGCTTGGCTTTAGGATTGAGTTTTCAGCTCATTCACCTATGAAGCAATTTCTCTTTGGGCTTCACCCAAAGCACGAATGGTTACGATGATGTCAGGAATGGCATATTCGTCCAAGTTTTCCTGGCTTTCCTAGTGCTACTATTTGCGTTGAGATTTGTTCAGTCGAGAAACAACCTCGCTTGCCTATGAGGAGTTATCCCTGCTGGTAGCGTTTTTTCTGGATGTTGGAGCCATTGAATCAAGATGAGACCTGGTCCCTAGTGAAGTCGCCAATTTATGTAGGGGGACTTTTAGGTCAAGATGGACTTGGACGTTGAGAACGTCCTCTTGTCTCCCTTGGTTCAGTTTCGTACCAAATTCAAGAATATCTTGAAAGAATTAGCACGCCTTAGGAAATATCCCAGTCGAATCAATGAATTAAAGATAACATGATTAAGCAAATAATTAAAATTTTCTTTTGGATTTAATTAAATGTGGCTTGCGTCCCCCACCCTCTATTTTTAGTGCTGTAATGATCTTACCTCTCTCCTTATGTAACACCCCTAATTCTTCGGGATTAGGTTTCTACTTAAACATATGATGTGTAGATTTGGGATAGTTAGCTTGGAAAGAAGATTTGAAGATGTTCCCAAGAATAATGGAGAGCATAAAGGCACGACCCCAAGTTTAGCTTTTAATGAATTATGATTATATTTTTTTGCTTGCTTGTTTAATTTTATTCGAGGGAAGGGACATTAGAATTAACAACAAATCACACGCATAAACCTTAATTAAATTGTGTTGCTCACAATTTAATCAACTTAAGTCCATGATTAGCTCCATTAATCCACATGATGCGATGTCAATGGATCCTTTTTTTTAAATCCATTAAGACAAATATGTGTGAAACCTATAACAAAACCCTTATTATTTAATACTGAATTTGAAAAAGGGATTAGAAATTGTTTCTATCCCTGAGCTTTCCTGGGTTTCTTGCTTAAAGTCTTGGGCGCGTAGGTCTGTGGTCGCTCGTAAGTTCATAACAATGGCTCTTGCTAGGGCCTGAACAGGTGTTGCCTCCAGTGCTAGCTCCCCAAAACTGGAGACGACTCATTCCAGGACCTTCATGCATCTTTCAAGGTCGGCAAGTCTTGCATGCTCTATGTTTCGCAAGTCTGTTCGAAGATTGTTGACATTGGGCGTAGATTCGTAAGGGACTTTCTCAAATTCACTACATTGGCGAAGCGTGCTCGTTGTCAGAAGTGGCGCCGCGTAACGAGGCAGCGCAATTACACTGTGATCGTGTTAGAGCAGCCATAGTGGTGGTAGGGTGATCTGGTCGAGGAGTTCTTGAGTTGAACTCTCAATGAAAGTACCAATTATTGGAACCAAATTTGCGCACCGCTTTGAGTGGTGGAGATGCCCAAACTTGGTAGCTGTAAAAGAACACATAATCGTGAGCAAGCCAAAGACATGAAAGGGGAGGCTGTGTCAGTTAGAGGTTTTCCGATTGTCAAGTTAGTAAGTAATATTAAGACAGAAGGAGTAGGCAAGAGAATATGCAGAGATTCAGTTACTAGGCGAACCTTAGAAGGTTGTATTTATACTAGTCGATGAGAGAATCTTTGAGGATAGTAGAATTCTTATTAAAGCAGGAGAATCCCAGAGATATCTAGGAAGTAGATATTTCATCCTCTCAGGATAGTTTTGTCAAACTCAAGGAGAATGTCTTGAAGTATACTCATGTGTTCGTAGTGTACTCTTTTCCGTACGATAAGGATCATTTTGTCCCATTCGATTTTTGTTGCCAGACGAGGATTTGATGATGCACCCATTCTGGATTAGTCATATCCTTGTGTGCATCTTACTTACGTTCTGAAGATGTTAAGTTTTTTTACTTATTGCATTTACTCACTTTTCTCCTTAGACGATGTGTTTTGTCTCATATTGAGTTTCCATAGCCATGCTTTGTGAGGTCTACTCCTACATGCAATCCCTAAGTGACAGTAGCATGTTCTCTATTAGTACCTGCAAGATGACTTTATCAAGTGCTTCTATGTCATTTATGAAGAACTTGATGCAATATCTACTTGAATATTTTTACACACAGTGTTAATTAATATTGACATAATATGATTGTGTACAAAATCCCTTGTAGATTTGGATTTGAATTCCCGCGTAGAGAAACACATTTTTCGTCTTGTTCTTGAATCAAATTTGTTGATTTTTTCCTCCACTGTGAGGTCCCAAGTCACCTATGTTAGACATGTGTGCCACCAGGCCCAAGCTTTGCAATGATTAGATTTGATGTATTGTCATGTAGTATGTGGTCCCTCCTCTTAACCTCTTCCCCACTTGTGTGGAAGGAATAGGCCGGTGTTTATTCCTCTCAAAACAAAGGAGATTCTCTATTTGATGTATTGTCATTTAGTGTGTGGTCTCTCCTCTAAAGTTAATAACCTCTTCCCCACTTGTGTGGGAGGATTAGAATATGGTCTTTATTCCTTTAAAAAACTATAGTATTCTATATTTATAGTTTAAAATCTTAAGGGTTGGTTTAGAGGGTCACGGGCTCAATTATGCATCTCCCAATTAAGGTGGAACATTTACATCACAAACAGAATCTAAAATATACAGACTTATGATTCAAAACATACATCTCGCCAGTAAGATGTAAATGTGATCTTTTACGTCTCAAATTTGTAAATCTCTAATAAAGGTGCTTTAAGGGGTGAAAATTTGCTTATGAATGTTAAATTTAATAGGAAAATCATTACATTATGGACATCCCAAACTCAAATGGCATAACATTTATTGAAAATTATAGCGGTTTTAATTTTAATGGTATAAACAATAAGTGGAGGCAAATTGACATCTTTAAATGTTTAAACACTGGCAAGAGTCTCTATAAACTGATGAGCATGAAAGCATCCAACATGTAATGCTGTATTTGTTTTGGTGGATTTCGGATCAAAATCACAAATCTCTTTGAAACTCTTGTCTCTAATATTATAAGATATAAACTTACCAGGAATGTACAGCAACAATGATGAGCCCTCTTCAGTTTCTAGGACAAAAAGTAAAACAAACGCGTAAAAAGGAGAATCATAGGGATGGGGGTGAAGGTAGTTTCTAACCATCTCCGGAAATGCATCGATGATCGGAGAAATGTCGATTTGGTACTTGGGAATCCACCTTGAGTAATCTCTCTCCAATTCAAAGACTTGGAATTGAGTGATGCTTGGACCATAAACTTCAACTAGGTGCAAATGCCCACCAGATTCCCCAAAATACTTGAACCTTCTTGTACCCCAATGCTCGCCTGATGGAGGACTAGGCATTGATCCGAAGCGCTCTTGATTGATATCAAAACATAATGTAGCTCCTGTTGGGCTAATCCAATGTATTGCACCATTCCAAAGCACGCCATTTTCAAACACCATATCGGATGGGGCCATAAAGGGAGATCGGGAAACCCTCCAAGTTCGAGTCTCGGATGCGTATATCTGAATTTGGTAGTGATCACTTGCTTCTGATGAGGAGCAATTTTGAACGCTGACGACTTGGTAGTGAGATGATTTGGATGGATCAAAAGCTAAATAAACACCTAAAATAGTTGCGAACGAATTACGACCCTTGGAATCATGACCCTTGGTATTAGGTGGACGAAGAATCGAGAATTGCCTTGTTGAAGGGTTGCAGACATAATAACTAATAGTTTTTCCCAACTTGTAAAAGCTACACCCCAGGACCAGGCCATTTATGGACTGCAGTAACTTAACACCTGCTGAATCATCAATGAAGTCAAGAGACGAAAAGGGTTGCTCTGAACTGCTGCAATTGAGAGATAGGTGACTGATGAGGCTGGGAATTCGAGACAAGAGGATGCATGCAGAGGAAAGACTGCGGTGGCGGCTATAGAAATTTTGGCTGGAGATGAGACAGAGCCACTGCTTGGAGACACATTTGAAGCGGAGAAGTGACTTCACCGGCAGGCGTACCAGGATCAATGTGACGAGGTCTTGGTTCAAAGCTACTGCCTCAGCTGCAGGCAATGGATCATTGAGAAAGTTGCCAGTGAGACAAAGAGACACCATTCTTTTTGCTTCTTTCAGATCTTCTCAGCAAACTCTGACTTAATTGGTATAGGGATAAAATTATGCAACAAATATAACCATTTTCAATGAAAAGTATAGACGTTCCATCTCACTCTCTCCGTTGAAGAATTGTCTGTCTTCTTCAACTGTGAGCTGGGAAAAGTTAGGTTTGATGGGATTTCAATTATTTTGTCCATCAATTATTGCAACAACTTTTTGATGGATTAGGTGAGTTGAGATATGCATAAGGCTTAGTCGTCAGACTACAATAGTAGAAACCGTACCGTCACAAGGCGGAAAGAAAGGATCAAGATCCAATATTAGTCATCAACTACAAGTAGGCTACTTCCTTTCAGCTCAAAGCGATTGGAAAGAGTTAATTCCCTAATATGACGACCTTTTGTCCCCTATCTTCAAAATTTATTAAATAATGAAAAGTAGAAATAAAAGAAAACAAGCCGTGGACGAAACCAAAACTGGCGTAGAATAAAACCAAGAAATATCAACGAAAACGAAGAAATTGTTTATTGTTATGGAAAAAGCAAAGTCGACATGAAACATGTGAAGAGTGCACAATCATACTATTGCACAAGAGCTATGCGGGCTCTGAGAGAGAGAGAGAGAGAGTAGTTCTTAGTGTGCTTAAAAATGAATCAAGTTCTTTGATAGGTACAGGGTAAAATGGAAATATATCTATTGACCCTAAAAACTACCAAGTCTGCGTGGCACGCAGGCCAAGTAACTAATGAGCTAACTACGTCTTTCGGTTGTATGCGGGCGTGCCAACTCGTCAGCCGAGCTCGGCCGAGGAGTAAAGTATGTTGATGTTGCGTCAGATGCACTGATGACTTCTCGATCTTGCAATTGTAGTCGAGGAAGGAACACTCTCGGCCTTCGGGTTCTAGAGCCTGAAGACAAGGCTACTAGTTATGCGAAGTTCACAAATCGTCGGCGTCGGATTCGGTCGCAGTGATTATATTCGTAAGAGTATAAGCAGGCCGAATCGACACCAGAGTATAGGGACACAGATACTCAAAACAGATATATGTCTTGATGGTAAACGAGGTTCGGCCGTCAGAATGTCAAACTCTAAAGCCTACTTATGAATATCCAATCATAAAATAACTTGGCATTCGATGTGCCGAGCCCTAGTAAACTGTAACACCTCACTTCGCCGAGAAGGCTAATGAGATGACCTCTGCTAATAAGGATTCGAAAATCCTTCTCGACCGAGACTTGGATAGATAACCAACCACTTCAACGCAGTGTTATTTAACCAAACTGAAGGTGCTTCACTATTGACTGATTCTACGGCGACAATGCTGTTTATCCAAACTGAAGATGTTCGCTGGTTTCCTTCACAGTGCTGTTTATCCAAACTGAAGATGTTCGCTGGTTTCCTTCACAGTGCTGTTTATCCAAACTGAAGGTGTGTTGATGAAAAAGAAACTAAAATCTCAAGGTTATTGAGAGGTTTCGCGTATAGCGAGGGTTTATGCAAGGCAGTTTGTGTGTTGAATTGGAGGGGCCTTGAATGATGCACTCCTCCCTCTATTTATAGTAGTTAGCTTGCTTCTGATCGAATCAAAACCATACTTAGATTAGGACTCCTTCCCCCGATCCAATCCCAAGCGCATTCAATCCCAAGCGCCAGCATCCTTATCCAACCGAAACTCCTTCTTGTATCAGGATTCAACTACCCTATCCGTCCATCTCGCAATAAGACTCACCCACATCCTATGGATTCCCAATGGACCACGGCCGGCCTTGACTATACGGCCCACGAGCTGGATGACCCCTAGAGACTCCTAAGTAAGACCTCTGGGCCAAGAACAAATCTAAACTTAGCCCAAACTAGTATTTTGGGCCCAAACATTGCCTCCTCGCTTCTGAGGTCGATCTACATTCCTTAGTTGAGCCTCGGCCTTGAAGAAGCGAAACCGACCTAAAACAAACATTAAACCCCCCTCGAGAAATACCACCACGCGTACTTATGAGACATGATCTCACGACCTCAATTCTCCCAACCTTCCTGCCACATGTTGATCCTTAGGTTAACCTAGCAACCATTAATCATGACCCTAAAAAATGTGCGATAGCCAAAACGTCTATTCTACATTAAGTCCGGCGCAACACGCAATCGTGCATCCTTAAACCGCGAAAACCTCGGTGTTTTCAACTGGATTCTCTGAATATCCACAATGATTAACAACTTTCCTGCTCGATCATTCCTCCAACTTTGAAAATCAAACGTTTAACTGTCCTTCCAAAATGCCTATAAATACCAGAACCCTTTCTATTCATACTTTATGCTTTCCAAAATCCTTGAGACCTCCTCACCATTTTGCTTTAAAAATCCCAGAAAACCTAAAATCCTAAATCCTAAAAAACCCCAAGCTCTTAACCCAGAAATCCTTAAGCTTTCATTAATAGCCTCCTTTATTTGCTAGCTCTTCAACGAGTGCAGTAAGTACAAGGACTACATCGATCGGAGCGCCATCAAGACTCTGTGCTTCGAGGGTGATTTAAACACTACTCATCAAATCCTGGGACCGCTCTTTAAATAAGCAGTGCCATCGTCCATCACCAACCTCTTCAAAGAACACTGCCTGGCACATTTACTACAAGGATTTGATTGGTTGAAGTGGTGCTTGTCAAAGCCTCAAGGAGCCTGGCCTTCGACCAACGCCAACTGGGCAGCATGGGTCGTATAGATGGAAAAATTCTTTGGTAAAGAATGGGAGGCTCCCGGCATCCACGACGCCATTAAGTTTTCGACCATGGAGATTGACATGGATAAAGAACTCTTTATGGCAGCTCTAAGCCTATGGTGCTCGGCCACCAAGACCATGATCTTTCCCTTCGGCCCTATCACCCCCATCATTCTCGACATCTCAGCTATCCTCAAGACTTCTCCTTCTGGCATTCCAATAGATGTTGCCCTTATTGGATGCTCGTCGAACCTCGACTTTAAGGTACTATTCGATGAATGGGCCATTGAGACGTTGAGCCAAGAAGGTCAAGAGCTTTCAAGGGAGGAAGTTCAGAAGTTGCACAAGATTTTTCTCAACTACAACATCCTTATCCTTCATTTTGCTGGCTGATGGGAGGTGAGTCTACGGAAGGGAGAACATGGGGCCTTCCTATTTTACTGGTACAGCAAGTTTATCTGTTGTACCAAGTCAAATAAGTGCTTGGTCGAAAATATGTCGGTGGCTGAAGCCCTAGCTAGTGGTCACTTTCTGGTGCTCAGTCCAGCTATCCTCGCTAACCTTTTATGCTGCCTGGCTGAAACGACCATCAACAAGATTGATCCGCACCAGAATGAACCTCTCTGGGTATTCCAACTCTGGCTGCATGTCTATTTTTCCTCATTTCGGCCAGAAATCCCCAACCTTCAGTCCACTGCAGCGCTTAGCCTTCAGTTAGCCTCTCGATCAGCGCCTCTTCATCGAGCTGAAGATTTCTTCAAACACTTTTTCGGCTTAGACGTCCTTTCCGACGACGAATTTTTAATATGCTGCCATTAAGAGTACCCTCACTCTATCAGGCTTCCCATATCAACATGGAGTGAAAGTGAAGATGCTGGTCTTCGTCAAAACTGGGGGTCGTTCGTGTTAACTCGCAACCTTCCCTTTAGTTGCGATGCTCACCGAGCAAGTTGGGAAGTCTACCACCCCCACTTTGCTGCCCGACAGCTTGGCTACCTCCAAGGTTGCCCTGTGCCTTTACTTACTTCCCACTCCCTTCTAAGCTGAGGATGCCTCTCTGGTTCCTCAGAAAGGGAGTGCAGAGACATCGAGAAAGAGTTTCAGGAACGATGCAAAAACATTCGCCTTTAACCAACTATTCCTAAATCTCTCAGCACCGACACCTTCAGTGACTGGTGGGAAGAATATACCCATGACTCTTTTGGCGCTTTAGTCGAAAATGTGGTCAACAAAATTTTTGGCGACCGACCTAAAAAAGCTTCTGCCCCTCAATCCAAAGAGATGCCCAAGGTATACGGCTATCTCTACCTTTATTCTTCAAACACTTAATAGATTTTACTAACTAGATTTTTCTTTCTCAGGCAGTAGAGTATTGAAACATAAAGACATGATCGCCACATGATAGCCCCTTTCTCCAAGAAATCTAAAATCGCTGCACAAAACACACTAAGCAAACGGCCTTGCTTGGACACCGAGACGGCAGGTGAAGCCCCTCGTCCCACAAAACGCATAAAGAAATTAACGAAGAAAAGAGCACGGTAGATACACGTTATCTCCAGCCAGACCACCAGAACCGCTCCTAGTGCCTCTCCTCCTGCTTCTGTTGTCCAGGCCTCAATAGAGAAACGGTCAACTCCAACTAGCCCAGCACCACAAGTTCACTCGGCCCCTGAGGTCTCTGAGGTTGTGGTCAAACCAGTTGTTGTATTACTGGTCGAAAAACCTGCAGCTCTGGGGCCGACCGTAGCACCCGTCTTGAAGGAGGCAACCCCTTCGGTCGGGAAAAATCTCCCTAAGAATCCAAAACAATCAGCCATCATCTTAGAAGAGGTATGATTATGCTATTGGTAACTCTCTTCTCTCATTAAATTCAAAAGTAGTAACAACTCTTTTGTTTCAAGATGACGAGAGTGACGAGATTTCGCTGGCAAGTCATCCTCGACCAACAGAACCTTCTTCCGTTGAGCCTCCCCCTATGGTTGAGGTGACTGACCAGGTCGATCCTCCTGTAGCTGATCGCGGAAAAATGCCTCAAATTGAGCCTGAAGCGGCAGAAACACTAATTCACCCGCAGGTTCAAGACCTCGACATTCCTCCTCAAGAGGCGACTTCGGTTTTTGTAAGACTCGATCACTTTTTTTTGTTAACTTTACTATAACGAGTCTGAACTAAAAACAAATATTACATGTCGGGTGCCCAATTATTCATTTCACCAAAAATTTTATGCACCGAAGGGTGTTATTTATATTTCCTGGCCACCTCAGTGGCCGTCGAATGTAGATAACCTTCATCGGCCACATGAATTGAGAACCAGTCTAAAACATTGGGCTCGACCATTAAGCTCTTTAGGTTCGAGCAATGAACCAGGAGACATGGTCGAAGTCTCATCTCGGCAGGTTTAAAAACAAATACTCTCTACTATATTCTTTCACGTTTTCCTTTTGCCTAAATTCTTTTCATGTGCAAGCCTTTATGGGAAGTCGAGTTCGATGCTCTTCTTTTGAATACCTCAGGAATGGCCGGCCCTTTAGTAGCTACAACCAGGTCCTCCATACTGATGGCCGAATTAAATGTTCTTGTTAGGCTGCA